TTTTTTTTTTCAGATCGTGGGGGTAATCATGAGTCTCTTAACATTTCTGGCGAAAGTGAAACACGTCCTTCGAGAACTTCCACAGCTGCACCCAGGTACCGAGAAAGTTCATCATCGAACGAAAATGAAGAACCCTTCTCTCCGGCAGTATCTGAGTATGCACCTAGTTTAAATCCGTCCAGTAGGTCTTCTAGTCCAGTTCAAAGATTTAATATGACAATATCGTCTTCATTGGTGCGAGATGTTACGATGGCGCTAACGGATGCATATACTACGCCGCCAACGAGATCAGAAAAACTTTTCCATTTTAGCACTCCTAAACATCACCGTAGTATTGATTTCATTTGTTCTCCTACTATAATTTACAAAGCTAGTAATAATGATAGTGTTTTATCCAACAATAATAATTCCCAAAAGTGTGGATACATTGATGGTATTCACCCAATATTAGCGGGAGATAATTGTAATAGCTTAACAGATTTATGTACTGATATTTTAAACCATCAATCTCTACAATTACCTAATTCTCCAAACAGTTTACCATCAAACTCTATGTGTACGAGCATACGCCGCGATGAAACCATGTCTATGGCAAATCTAACCGAGACCTACATACCAATAGAACCAGTTGCAATTAACAGTGACCTAGCAGAGATTAACAATATTAGTGATGATGATGAACGAGTTTATTTAAATTTAACTGTAGCGAATCAAATTAACAACGTAGAAAATAATATCAACCCACAAATATCTAGCATTACAGAAATTACGCAACCTAGTACTAGTATTGCTTCTGAAATATCCTATTGCAATAATCATAATGCAAATACTAATATTATTGCTGGGTCTTCTCATGCTTTGCTGTCATCGGAAAGAAATGTTAAATCTAGAAAGAGGGCAAGAAACTTAAATGAATGGGCTAAATGTAAAAATAAAAAATTAAATAACAATGGTCTTGAATATCATAGTGTTAACACAAAGAAATTAAGGCAGTGTAGAGAATTAGGTAACCCTTGCGTGTGTAAGATGAAATGCTTTGACAAATTTACTCAAGCAGATCGTTTGGAGCTATTTCAACATTATTGGAATATAGGAGACCATGAAAAACAATGGCTTTACATTCTGAACAATACAGAAGTTGAACAGCCTAAAGTTACCAAAGTTCAAAGAAAGCGGGATAGGTCTCGCACATTAATTTACTATCTACCATTATGTAAAGATGTTAAAGTCACAAAACTTAGAGTATGCAAAGTAATGTTTTTAAATACTTTGGGTATCAAAGAAAAAACTGTTTACTCTGCTATGAATAAATATACGAATAACTTGCAAATAACGGATTTACGGGGCAAACATGCTAACCGTCCCCACAAAACAAGTGATGAAACTGAGCAAAGTGTAATACAGCACATAAAATCATTCCCATGTATCGAATCTCACTATTTAAGAAAGCAAACTAGCCGTCAATATCTCGCCTCTGATTTAAACTTGTCTAAAATGCATCGATTATATGTAGTATGGATGTCAGAAAATTTAAACACAGTAAAAGTAGCAAGTTTATACCAATATAGTAATATTTTTAATTCCCAATTTAATCTTTCATTTTTTAAACCAAAGAAAGATATGTGTCAAATCTGTAGTCTTTATGAAAATGCTGATGTTGACCGTAAAATTGAACTAAAGTACAACTACGAAAGCCATTTAAAAAATAAAACCCTGATACGCAAAATTAAAGATGACGAAAAAGCTACATCAAATCCTGAGACTACGACTGTCGCTGTGTTTGACTTGGAAAAGGTATTAAACTTGCCACAATCCAATGTGGGTATTTTTCATTATAAAAGGAAATATCCAGTCTATAACTTCACGGTATACAATTTATTATCCTTACAAGGATACTGCTATTTGTGGCACGCACAGATAGCTAGAAGAGGGGCTAACGAAATTGCAAGCTGTCTCTATGACTTCTTCAAAAAAGAAGCTCTCAATGGTGTCAAATCAGTGTCTTTATATTCTGATAATTGTTCGGGCCAGAATAGAAATCGATTTATATTTGCTATGTACATGCACGCTTCTCGTACACTAAATTTGGATATAGTTCATAGATTTTTACAAACAGGTCATACCCAAAATGAAGGGGACTCTATGCATGCTTGCATAGAGAAAAATTTAAAAAATAAAATCGTTTATACACCTGACCAATTATACGAAATTATTATGAATGCTAAGGTCCATAAGAAATTTGTTATGACTGAGATGTCCCAGAATTTGTTTTATGATTTTAAATCACTAGCGATTTTGAACAAAAATTGGCTGAAAGATACAAGAGGCGAAAAAATATATTTTTCAAAATTAAAAGAAGTCAAAATTACTGCTGAAACTCCTGATAAATTGTTTTACAAATATGATTTTGAGCAACCTGATTACTTTGTGTTAGATACTATAAATTATACTCCATCTAGAACGCGCAAAAAATTAACACGATCGGATCCTGAGCTCAAAACTGCTTATGACAAATTATTACCAGTGTCAAGTGCACTGTACAAAGATTTAAAAAGTCTATGTGACTCAAATGCTATTCCGTTACATTATCAAAGTTTTTATAGGAATTTAGTGGCCGAAAACGATACCCATAACTTGTTGCCAAGCGATAATTCTGATGAAGACTAAATTATTATTATGATTACTGTATCAGTAAAAATATTTTTAAAACTTTGATTTTATAGTTCTGTGTGGCAGGTTGACTGTAATATCGATGATTGTACGTGTGCAAACACAAAGTTAGAAAATAACAATTAGGCTTTTTACTTTATTGAATGATTACTTCGGTATTGTGTTTTATTTGTTAACCCTGGTTCAAAGTTTTAAACTACTTATAACTATTATTGGTAGGTATTCAAGTTTTAACAACGAGTTAATTATTATTAGTGGGATTACTGACAGTTTATAAATTATTAATAGACGGATTACTAGAAAACAATTCAAATTCAATAATTTTATTGACAAAAAAGAAGTCATAAAAAATAATTTCATGCATAAAAACATTTTAATAACTTTACCTACCTACAATATGTACGTAAACACCAATAATTATGATTAATTAAAATTTGAAGATAAATATTTTTTTCAAAACTGATTTGTAATTGGTATAGGTAATAAATAATTTTAAGATTTTTGTTGTGATTATTAATTTTAATATTTTGAGGTCTTAATAAGTAAGAACTTCTATTCAGTTCGTTCTGATTTAATTACAAAATTTAAATTATAATTCACTGTTAATTTGATTATGTTTTATCACTATTATTTTATTCTGTGTGTGACTATTATTATAATAAAGTGCAATTTTCTAAAAACCTCTTTTATTACACCAATGAAATATATTTTACCTAGAAACTTAATATTACTTACAGTTATGGTTTAATTTAACATACTGTTAAAAAAAGGCCGTATTTAGATTTAAAACTATATTTTAGTTTTATTTTTTAACAAAGAAAGCTGTAAATGCGTCATACAATCCGATAAGTAAAATAAAATTAACCAAAAAAGGGCTTAAGCAGTACTTAACTTCTGTATTTTATCATAGTATAGAACTTCGTAACAGACGTAAGCATGAGTAGTTTCACTATAAAAAAATATTTATAAAGCAATGTTTGGAATAAAAAACATTACGTTTGAAGATTGGTCTTATATAAATAAGGAAAACGGCTGTAAAACATTAAACATTAAATACTGATTACCAAGATAATTTAAGGTGTTTCGAATGTTAACAAAAAAAAGGTTGTTTTTTTTACTATTTTTTGATATATAACAATATATCATAAAGTCAAAAACAAAATAGATATACTTGGTTAAACAGTTTTTTTGCTCCCCTGTAAAGTTAGTGAATTCCACTTACGCCTTTATTGGCCTGGGTGTGCGAGTTTAATACTAAACTTATTCTCTCGTTTACTCAGGTTCGTCAACACATGGCAGAAGTAGGCGTCCGTCGGTTCCAAGACCTGATCGGTCGCACCGACCTACTGAAGGTCCGGGAGAACAACGAGAACCCTAAGGCCAGGTTGTTGAACCTCAGCCTTATATTGAAGAACGCGCTGCATATGAGACCCGGCGTCAATATTATTGGAGGTTCTAAGACTCAGGTTTGTTGTCTGTTTTTATTGATCCTTGATCATGTTTGTCTTCATAATGTTGGTCCATGGCAAAGCTAAAGCAATCTCAATGAAACTTATGTGTACAGATGACTTAAACTCTGACCTAGAAGAAATAGAATGTATATTATTAGGAAACATCAATAGTTACTCTGGTATACTGTTCCTGTTCCATTCGAATCTACGTTTTAGAATGAGCACCTAGCTTCACCTAATTTCACTGACGGACTGACTGACAGACTATTATTTATTTTGTATTTGTTGACGTTTCAAAAGTACCAAACTATGATTCAATTGAAATAAATACTTTGACTTGACTTTGACTACGATTTAATGTAACTTTTGGTGAGATTGTAACAATTTTACGTGAATGTCACGAGTATAAACTAGATAAAAACTTAATGAAGTCTGAATTAGTGGAAATGTTTCGTCACCTACAACTTAAATTGGTTCGAAATCTTTGTCTAAATACAACCCCGTCTTCAGGACTTCCAGCTAGAGAAGCGTCTGGACAACCAGCTGATAGAGCAATGCAGCAGTCTGTTTGATGGCACTGCCGACCATGTAGACATCAACATGAAGATCACCAACGAGGACCGAGCCTTCACATCCACGCTCTCATACCATATCGCAATGTAAGAACCATTCAGTACTATACTAACATTGAAGACTAGTTTACCAAATTCGCATGTCTTGTGTGTTAAGCCTATTTAACTATCTGAATTTTATATCCAATATGTTGCTTATAAATATATCTCTAATCTCTACCTTGCAGGAAATGGGGTGACGATGGTCTCCCGGAGGGCAAGACCCTGAACATCTCACTGACGGGCTCCGCCGGACAGAGCTTCTGTGCATTCCTGTCCAAGGGCATCACTGTCACACTCGAGGGAGATGCTAACGACTATGTCGGTAAGTTAACTTTGAAATGACGTCTTCCACTCCTCTTATCTCTTGCTAAGGTCATAAAATGCGTATTTGATTTATTTTTTCGATGCTTTTTGTTGATAATACCTGAATCAGAAATCGTTATAAGATATTTTAGTCGGCATTCGTATTAAAATGATTCATTACTTGTTCAAAATTAAACAAAAAAAGCTGTCACTTATTAATTAATTAATTTATTTATTACTATTGTGATGTTAACACGGCTTTACACCTATTACATTAACACACATACAAAGAGAAATCAACGAGAATCAAACAGTTACAATAACAGAAAAAGAAGAAAAAACATAAATAAACATCACATTAAAAAAATTCTATTAAACACACATAGCTGACCTGACATTTCATTTGTTTTGTTTCAGGTAAGGGCCTGTCTGGTGGCACGGTTATCATCTACCCACCGAAGGCGTCGCCGTTCGAATCCCACTTGAACGTAATTGTCGGAAATGTCTGTCTGTATGGAGCCACTTGTGGGCGGGCTTATTTCAGGTTGGTACTAAATTATAATAGTTATGTTATTTTAATCAAAGTAAAACATCTCATTGATTTGTTAAATGTTTTCTGTACTTATCAAGAATACTAGATAGATAATGGTCTAATTTAATGCCTTCCTAATAGGTATTGTAAATTCGTGGTTACTCAGTATAGTTACATTTTTACGCTCAAGCTACTGAATGAATTTTGATAATTTTGGAAGAGAGAGACCTTAGAAAAACAATAGTAATCATATTAATTGGAAAGTGTGACGAGGGTATTGAAAGTAGAGTCAAAGCGGATAATAGTGTTAATGGTGCTTTACACTCAGTAATGTCGAGTAAAATAATATCTAGCAAAGCTCGACTTGCTGTAATAGCACCAACGCTTATGTATGGAACTGAATCATGGGTGTGGCAGAAGAAGCATGAAAGCAGGATTAATGCGGTGAAAATGAGAGCCCTGAGAAGTATGAATGGATTAAAATTGATGAATGATCAAGTGAAAAACAGTGTTAATAAAGAAAAGTGTGGATTGAAAGATGATGTAGTGACAAGAATTGAAAAGGGAATGTTACGCTGGTTTGGACAGATTGATGACTGTTGATGAAGCGAAAGAAGTATGTAGGAATCGTAGTAATTGGCGTTCCCTAGTCTCTGCCTGCCATGGGAGACAGGCTTTAAGTTATGTATGTATGTAATTGTTTAGCATTTCTTCAATATACATGAGCAAAGTTCCAAGCAAAAAATTGGGTTATCATCTTTGGTTATATCTTATACAGAGGCATAGCGTCGGAGCGTTTCTGCGTCCGCAACAGTGGGTGCGTGGCCGTGGTGGAGGGCGTGGGCGACCACGGCTGCGAGTACATGACGGCCGGCGTCGCGCTCGTACTCGGGCTCACCGGCAGGAACTTCGCCGCAGGGATGAGCGGTAAGAAGTCTACAAATCTTATAACAATTACGTCTTTTATCCCCGAAGAGCTAGACAGAGAGCACATTACGGCACTTGATGCCACTGTAAAATGTAACAACCACTTTTCACTATTTATGTTATGTGCCCCATGTAATAGGGGGTGAGCCTCTTGCCATATATAAGCATTAATCTCAAATACAATAATAATAATAATTTGCAGGTGGTATCGCGTACGTGTACGACATCGACGGTTCATTCTCCGGCAAGTGTAACCACGAGATGGTGGAACTGTTGCCGCTGGAACTACAGGATGATCTCGACTACGTACAGCAACTGTTGAAGGAGTTCCACGAGTACACTGGGTAAGTTGCTTAAGAAATATTATTCTATGGTATTCACTGATTTTTTTATACATTTAAATGTTATTTAGATGCAATGAAAGTTGTCCAGTGACTGTTTCAATATTTACTTAACTCCTTTGGTTCCTTCAACAACCTTTGCGTACTCAGTGCCTTTAGCCAAACGCCACTTTAGCGCTTGTCTACAGAGAGAGTAGAAAACTAAATGTATGGGGATGACTGACAAGTGTCAAAATTTACGTCAATCCCATATAATTTGGTTTTCTATTCTACATGTAGACAAGCGGTAAATCGCGTTTGATTACAGCTGCTGGTTATAATTTAGAGTCGCAAGAAAGAATCAAGTAAAACCTAACTATAAAACTAAGGATCAAAATTTGCTAAGTAATACATTTAGGTTTGCTCACTGTGCCGGTGTCGTTAGTACGTTAGTGGATGTTTATAGCAATCACGATCAGTATAGTACGTCATTAACTCGTCGAGTACCGGTTTTGTAGACACAATTATAGAACAATAGGTTGCGGTCACCGGTGACCGCTTGGTGTTTGACAGTTTAATTTTTAACATAATATTCTCTTCTCCCAGCTCTCTAATCGCAGAAGAATTTCTTAAGACATGGCCGGAACCTGCTAAGAAATTCATCAAGGTATTCCCGTATGAATACCAGCGCGCATTGAAGACGTTAGCTATCAAACAGCCGAGCCAGCCTAAGGTAGAAGCCAATGGAAAGGCGGAGAATGGAGTCCTGGATATTGAGGAGACTGTGAGAGATGTGGAACTGGAGACTAAGAATCTGGAGAAGATTTTGGATAAAACTAGGTAAGTTGATGAGTTATTGTTGTATATGGAAATCTATTTGCTGTTGAAGTTTAGATAAAAGGAGGTTTTACTAAAAAAAAAACTTTTTGCGCATGATGGAGTAACTTGTTATAATAGTTTTTTTAATTTTCAGATTTTTCATGTAGTTTTCATTTATATTGGGAACCTAGAGCATTCTTTCTTAATTTTAGAATTGTTGTACTAAATATGTGATGATTATGTAAATTGCTATTATTGTTTCTTCATACTCTCATGCTTCTCATATACATATTTATGATGCAAACATACTATGATATGATAAAATGACCTTTTTTATGAACTTCAACAAGCAAAGCCCTTGACATATTTTATTAAAACATATTTGTCTTATTACCCACAGGGGCTTCATGAAATACCCCCGCGAGACAACGATGTACCGTCCGGCAGAGAAACGTTCCCGCGACTGGGACGAGATCTACAACAGCGCGCACGTCCGGCGCGGGCTCCGGCCGCAGGCGGCGCGCTGCATGGACTGCGGCGTGCCCTTCTGTCAGTCGCAGCACGGCTGTCCGCTGGGGAACATCATCCCCAAGTGGAACGACCTCGTCTTCCGCGGGGACTGGAAGCAGGCACTCAGTCAACTGCTGCAGACTAATAACTTCCCAGGTATGTTTCAAAATACTTGATCATTTTTTATGGCATAGGGCAAATGAGTTACAATTACGTTGCAAGTTTGCATGTGGAATATTTGGGATGGAGAAGGAGAATTGGGGCTCCGAGAACCTCACTCGTTGTTTTTTTTTTATGTTAAAATGTAGAAAATCACTCTCGTCGAGCCGACTTATTCGTGCCGAAGCATAGCTCTCTTACGTGTTATATTCAGTTTAAAAGTTTTCTTAACTTGTAACCAACATAAGGCAAAGCACGTCTGATAACAATTTTATCTGCATATCGGAATTATTAGTGTATAATAAATATTGAATTTAATTGACCAGAGTTCACGGGTCGCGTCTGCCCGGCGCCATGCGAGGGCGCGTGTGTGCTCGGTATCTCGGAGCCCGCCGTCACCATCAAGAACATCGAGTGCGCCATCATCGACCACGCCTTCGAGAGTGGGTGGGTGCAGCCTGAGGTAAATACATACACTGCTATACGTTAATTAATATTATCATCATCGACAACATACCCAAGACCCAACAGTTTATACCTAATGTAAACTATAGCCCCTTGTATATTTTATAATCAACTAGCTTTTACCCGCGGCTTCGCTCGCATTACAAAAGGATAAAAAGTAGCCTATGTGACATATACCGATATACACAGCGCCATCTATACCAATACTTTTGTTTTCCCTCGGAAATATCAAATGTTTCCGGGATAAAAAGTACCCTATTATTTAATCAGGATGTCTAACTTTACGTCTGCAAAAAATCAAAGCAATCGGTTTAGTAGTTACGGCGTGAAAGCGGAACAAACAAACTCACTTTCCGATTTATAATATTAAAACTGTCAAACACCAAGCGGTCACCGGTGACCGCAATCTATTGTTCTATAATTGTGTCTATAATGACGGCACTCGACGAGTTAAGTAAGGATATACTAAGATGCCTTAAAAATTCATTCTATTCAGTTAATATTAAGAAACTAGTTTCGTGTGTTATTTTGTCGAAGAGTTATTACAGTATCAGTTTGTATTCTCAAACATAATGTTTAAACTAATTAAACTGTTTGTCCCCAGATCCCTACACACAGGAATGGTAAGACAGTGGCTGTAGTAGGGTCTGGACCTGCGGGGTTGGCGTGCGCACATCAACTGAATAAGGTAATAATATCATCTTCTATTTTATGGGCAGTGAAAAATATCAGGTCATTTCTGTAAAAAGTATAAAGTGCAAGTTGTTTACTATCGGTTGCGGTTGTGGCATAAATAGGATCTTTTTTATATTATCCTCCCATTATCTACTCCCTACTAGGCTCAATTACCCTCCCCTTCTCCAATCTCCCCAATCCCTGAATCCCCAACGATCCTCAAAGTCCTAATCCCCAAAAAGCCGGTAAAGCACTTGTAACGCCTCTGGTGTTCCAGGTGTCCATGGGCGACGCCGATTGCTTACCATCAGGTGATCCGTCTGTTCGTTTACCGGCTTATGCCATATAAAAAAAAACTTTTATTTTGTCCATGATATTCTCAGTAACTATTATCCATCATCCAGGCGGGCTACACGGTGACAGTGTTCGAGCGCAACGACCGTCCAGGCGGCCTGCTGCAGTACGGCATCCCCACCATGAAGCTCAGCAAGGAAGTCGTCGCCAGGAGGGTCAAACTCATGACCGCTGAGGGAATCTCCTTCAAGTGCAACGTCGATGTAGGACGGGACATCTCGGCTAGTGACCTAGCTAATGAGTAAATATTTGTTTCTGGTATATCTAGGAAAAATTGAGGATTACCAGTTTTTGAATATAGAATATAGACTGCCTCGTTGGCCGAGTGGTCGCAAATGCGATCACCGGGCAAGGGGTCTCGGGTTAGATTCCCGGGTCGGGCAAAGTATTACTGGCCTTTTTTAAAAAATATCAGTAGTAGCACGGAGTCTAGAATTGTGTCCGGTATATGACAATAGGCTCGCCCTCTATTACATGGGATTCAAAACATAAATAGTGAAAAGTGGGTATTCGGGTATTACATTGTACAGTGGCATTAAGTGCCGTAATGTACACCTCTGCCTATCCCTTCGGGGATAATAAGTGTGATGTTATGTTATTACGAATATAGCCTTGTTTAAGAGCCGGTATGGCTTGAAACTAGTCGGAAAATCCCTTAAATCCCTCCAATTGTAAGAAGATAATAGTATTCCATTGTATAAAAAGACAAGACTTTTTGGGAAATATTTGATTGCAATATCGGTTGATTCAGAATTAAATGGCATTGTATAATTCCAGTTGCGTCGTGACTATAGGTTTCATTTGTAAATGAAGTGCAATTGCATCATGAACGCAAAACAAGAAAATTATTACAATTTTTAAGTGCCTATTTTTAGAATATAGATTGTATAAAATGTTTTGCGCTTTTATCATAAAACCCCTTCTCCCTTCTTTAGATACAACGCGCTAGTCCTCTGCATGGGTGCGACGTGGCCGCGCGACTTGCCTCTAAAGGGTCGTCAGTTGAACGGCATCCACTACGCGATGGAGTTCCTGGAGAGCTGGCAGAAGAAACAAATGGGAGCCACCCACCATCATCAGGCCAAGGACCATCCCGAGTTGAATGCTAAGGATAAAGATGTACTCGTTATTGGAGGCGGTGATACTGGGTGCGTTGGTTTTTGTATTGATAGTTGTTTGCTGTTTAGATAGGGAAATAATGTTTAAACCACTGACAGATGTAGGTTTGTATCTGCTTAATTTCTGTGATACATTTTCAAGTTGATTGCAAGATTTCAGAGCGATAGCTTGACGTGAGTAATTAAGTCACTGAATTTAATAAGCTCTATCTAATAAACTAAGTTTTCTTCTTAAAAGTAAAGGAAACTGATATATTCTTTCGGCCATAAAACTTGATAAGTCATACCGCATATCTTTTATGACTATCTATGGCATTGGCATTCTAAAACAAATTATAGTCGGAAAAATAAAACTGAAATTTTAAATGAAAGTATAATTTACTTTAATAGAATCATGTAGGTAATTATCTGTTTTCCCCATAGATGTGACTGCATAGCGACATCATTACGTCAGGGTGCCAAGAGTATCACGACGTTCGAGATCCTGCCGCAACCCAAACCCACCCGCGGACAGGACAACCCATGGCCGCAGTGGCCACGAGTCTTCAGGTAAGTTTAAAATAACACATTATTTACTAAAGACATTTTAACATGATGGCGGAGTAAATAGTATTCATTTGTAATAACCCTATAAAAGAATGGACTACATAATCAACAGAAACTAGACAGCAGTGATAAATCTGAACCTTTTCAACTTCAATAACTTCTTAATATTCGATCATGAAAAATACACAACATTTGTTCATACAAAAGTAGACTCTAAACATCGGAAATAAGGTCTATAATGGAGAGCGGTCATCGGTGACTGCTTGCGGACTGGGCAGCCGCGATCTCTAGGCTGCAAGCCGTGGAGATTCTATTAGAAAACCTAATGGAGTACCCGATGGTTTTACTAGAGTTGGCCTATAATCTGGTAGTGGATACCAGATGTTGATTGATCACGATAATGATATCTGTGTTCTTATAAGTTGGCATTCCACGCTATTTCTTACAAATAAATCCTTTAGTATTATTTCGTATTTAAAGCTAGATTTTTTTTTCACAGAGTGGACTATGGCCACGAAGAAGTGAAGCTGAAGTTCGGCAACGACCCGAGGAAGTTCTCCACACTTACCAAAGAGTTCTTGGATGATGGTAAGTCTATTATACTGTCTAATTCCTTAATACACCAAAACTGTGGAATGATCTGTCGTCAGCGGTATTTCCGAACCGATACGACCTTCAAACCTTCAAGAAAAGAGCGTGTTCCTTTTTAAAAGGCCGGCAACGCACTTGTGACTCCTCCGGTGTTGCGGGTTTCCATGGGCGGCGCTGATCGCTTACCATCAGGTGATCCGTCCGCTCGTTTGCCTCCTATTCCATAAAAAAAATACATACATAAGTACATAGTCACATCTTTATTATATTTACATAGAACTCAGTCATTATCTATCATCGCTATCATCAAAGTACGTAAAATATTGACTGTCTCGTTGGCTGAGTGGTCGCAAGTGCGATGGCCGGGCCAGGGGTCTCTGGATTAATGCTCGAATCGGGCAAACATTTACTGGGTTTTAAAATTTTTTTCAGTAGTAGCACGGAGTCTGGAATTGTGCCCGTTGTATGACAATAAGCTCACCCCCTATTACATGGGACTCATAACATAAATAGTGAAAAGTGGGTGTTACATTGTACAGTGGTATTAAGTTAATGTGCACCTCTGCCTACCACTTCGGAGATAAACAGGCTGTTGTGATGTTGTGTTACTTAATATATTCTAAGTGTATGATTGTTATCATACTACTTAGCCTTATTTTAAACTGTCAAACACCAAGCGGTCACTGGTGACCGCAACCTATTGTTCTATAATTGTGTCTACAAAACCGGTGTACTCGACGAGTTAAATTCAAGATTTTAAGCATATAAATTATCTAATAGGTTTTGCAAAATATAATATAATATAATAACTATTGTTTCCATAAATTTTGTGTGAGATTGCAAAGATTAGATCTTAAAGGATCTTAAGTTGAATAAAAATTAAATGTCATTTATTTTAAAATCATTACGTGATAATTATTAATATTTTAGCGAAAATTAAAGTGCGTAAGTTTTATATTTTAATTGCAATTTCAGAATTTTATTCTTAATTTATTTTAATATGCACAAAATATAAGTAAATGAAACGTACTTACGACTTTAAAAATTCTAAATAGGACTTATAAATTGATAGCCTACATCAAATGTTACTTGTAATTGTTCATTCTTCTTTATAGAAATCTACACATGAAATATGACTTTTTTACACATTGCCCCACACTAAGATTGTATCCTGTGTCGTGGGTGCGTTTACAAACATCCAAGTTCACATACACATGACACCCAGACTCGGAACATCGGGTCCCAGTCCCAACCCGGACCACCCAAAGAGTTGTTCCGTGCAGGAATCGAACCCGCCAGTTGCCTAGCCACCGCGCCAACCGTGCAGTCTAGATTTTCGTAATTAAAATTATTATATTCTGTATCCTAGCCATTAAATGTTATGTTCCACCAGGTGAAGGCAATGTATGCGGCGTATCAGCAGTAGAAGTAGAATGGACGCGCGGCGCGGGCGGGCGCTGGGAGATGAAGGAGATCCCCGGCACCAACAAGGTCTACAAGGCAGACCTCGTACTGCTCGCCATGGGCTTCCTCGGACCTGAACGATATGTCGCTAACCAACTTGGTGAGTTCGCAACTCTTCTATTTATTTTGGAAATTCCCTAATTAGGTACTAAGATTTTGTAGATCAATTACAAAATCTTATTCCTCGTGGATTTATTGTCATCTTTATCTTGACTCTTACCTGTGGATTTTTAGAGCCAAAGAACACATTTAAGTACATTCTTAATATCCTTTGCGGCCAGGACCAATCACCCTTCGCTTTTTAGGAATTTGAATATTTAAAGACCACATCAGATGCCTTCAAGTCTTGCATATGGTTAAGTTTTTGTTTCTATCACATAAAAATTCAAACCTAATAATTTTATTTCTTTCTCAGACCTTCCCCTGGATGCTCGAAGCAACGTTGAAACGGAGAAATCGAACATTTACAAGACACCAGTCAGTAACGTCTTCGCTGCTGGAGGTATGTATTACTTTAATATTTTTTATTGCTAGTAGTAGGTACTCGTAGAATATAATCGATTATAATAAATGATAATATAATAAACGAATCATAATATGTTATATGTCCCATACTTCCTCACCTTTACTTATCTTAGAACTAATACTACCCATGTTATCCGGGTAATCTTAAGTTATGCAAAGATCTGTAACAAAAACAGGCATTGATTTAAGTATTGGATACATTATAATAAAAAATGAATTCTTTATCCACAGACTGTCGTCGTGGTCAATCGCTAGTTGTCTGGGCGATAGCAGAAGGCAGACAGGCGGCGAGAGCAGTGGACACATACCTGTCCGGCAAGTCCAGTCTGCCCGGACCTGGCGGCGTCATCTACGACCACTGAACGTCACTATGTACGCACTGGTACCGTGGATTTACTACTACTATACACAATGGACCATAGAAGAATGCAGGATAAACAATATATTTGGACAAAACATCATTTAAAGCCAAAGTATATCTGCTGAGCAAAGGGGGGAGAGGGATGTATCGTAATCCCCTTGTAACTATCGAAAATGTAGTCACTGTTAAGATAATTATATTCGTTCCTGTCTCTCGGTAACTGGTCGCAGATTTAAGATGTTGAGAAAAGGGGAAAGGGGGAGGTCTCATAATTCCCACGTAATCGTTGAAAATGTATTCTCTGTTTTAAGGTAATATCCAGGTATGGTAATATTGGTGTCTTCCATCTATTTGGTCCAGACAAACTATAGGACATTGTGTATAACAGTTGATTAGGCTAGCACAACGTTTTGTGACTGAAATGTCACTTATTCGCGTCCCTTTTTGTGATGATTCGGCGGCTGAAGGACTCAATATAAAGAGAACAAGTTATAAACAACTACAACTGATTTTTAACTTCAACCAATATAAAGTAATGTCTTTAAAGTCCATTTTCCCGCAGTCGCCACATATCAGAACAAAAAATATCTGCGTTTGTAGCATTAGGGCGAGATTAGGCCGCTATAGACGCTTCGTTACCAGCGTTAAACAAAACTAGATCTTATATTAACGTAGGAGATTTGAAATTACAATATCAATTTAATCACATTGTATTGAAATTATTTATTTGGAAAGTACGACAATAATGTTTAGGCTGCATTGTTATAATAATTTGGAACAATTGAGATTTATTTGCTTACCAAAAATTATACATTGTTCATAGTTAAATGCAGTTTGTTTGAACAAAGTACCCCTATGTATAAGTTGACGTACATTAAATAATTTGTCGAATACTATTGTAGATCTTAACAATATTTTAAGAAACAACATTATTATATATTATATAAACTATTTGATATAATCATTTTATGTGTAATCACATTCCTTTTTTAGACTTTTTGGTCGATATTACGTTTTAGAGACAATTTTCATTAATTATTATAGAAATCATGCCAAATTTTATTTGGTTACGTGTAAAATTTTCTTTAAATTGAAATTTACTTCAGGAAAATGTGATGTTTGTAAAAATTGTTTTATTTTTTGATGTCAACGTGAACAGACAGTGATCTCTAGTGTCATATGAATTCGATACATTGTTGTTTATATTATAAATATATCTGTTTTTAATGTTATTGTTTTACGACCGAAGTTATTCACTGATTTTAATCTAAAATCCCTAGATTGATCTTGGTTTTTGAAGGTAAAATCAAAAGAACTATTATCAAAGAGATTTTGTAATGAAGTCGGTTATTATTTTCGGCCGTTAGATTGTACGACTTTAGTCAGTATTTTTATGTAAAATGTATCTTTTGTAACTTAGTAACTAGGGCTGGATGTGTATACCCGTCTTTGATTTTCTATCTAATTTCAAATGGATAAGGTTGAAAATCTGTCAACGAAGTTCTCGACTTCTGTCGATGTTAATGTTGAGTCTGCCAGTCCTGTATTTTACGGTCTAACAAAGAAAAAAATAGTTTCTATTTCTTATTATTACACTTATAATACAATAATCGTAGTTGCTCAGATACATGGAATAATGTAACATACTTCTATATACAAATAACAGTTTAAATGTCTAATAGTACTGATTGAACTTAGAGCATTTATTTGATAACAATAATCATTAATTTTCTATTGAGATTAATTTTATAAATATGTACAGTTGACAACATAACTTATCATTAAATAGAATCATAATTTCAGTTAAAGTAACAAACTTGGAATTATAGATGACCATTACAACACGTGATAGTCTATGATTGGACTACGCGCCTTCTCTACATAAAAAAATTTGATCCACGCGAGACAATGTATTTTCTATTGTCTCATATACAGTCATTCAAGCAGTTAATTATTCAATTAAAAACTAAAGTTGTCATGTAAAAATTCTTTGAAACGATACTGAAGTTACGATTTTAGTTTCCAATATAATCTATCTTGTGTCCGGTGTACTATCACAGATAATTATTATTATGTTACGTGTAGAAGTTCCTACGTAATCTTATAAGTTTAATCGTCTACATCTAGATATTAGTTCACAAGAATCTATTAAGATATAACTGTATCTAATATACTTTTATTAACTGTTTACTAGTGATTTATTCTGTAAAAAGCATAAACATGTTTTGTTATATAAGAGCTTTTAAAATACACTGTATTAACGTCGTAACGATAAGACTACGATAAATGTATGAAAGGGCTAATTATCATATTTATTTAATAGACTCACCGCCGTACTCAATGTCATTGAATGGTTGATTACTTAGCCTGTAACTTTTTTTATGCGATAAGTCGACAGACGAATCATCTGATGGTAAGCAATCGGCATCGCCCATGGACACCTGGAACACCAGAGGCGTTACAAGTGCGTTACCGGCCTTTTGGGAATTAGGAATTTAATATTGGGAAAGGGAGGGGGGCATAATTGGGCGACGAAACACAATGCAAGCGTTGTTTCACGTCGATTTTCTGCTCGGCCGTGGGTGGTATCACTCCGGTCGAGCCCATTAGTGCCGCGTGGCTCTCCTGCACAACGTTTTCGAAACAAAATCGTTGTTAAGGAATAGACTAAGTGATTATTAAATGTGTCTGAGTATGGCAGTTGGGTGTTTATATAAATTAGCCTTAAAACAACTTTGTACCTAAAATCAAACTTATCTATCCGTCTGAAGAGACATTCAATTGTTTATCTACATCTACATACTATATAAAAATGTATGTTGAGTTATATAGTACACTACAATAATGTATATGTCATGTGACCAAAACAATGTAAAAATTATAAAAAATTCTCATCAAGTCATTTAAGTTTCACAAAATTATTAATTTTAATATAATTTTACTATTTTATTATTTAATGTTCCTTTGTTATTTTGATTTATTTGGAATAAACATTTTATTTTGATTTTATCAATATTTCTTTTTATTTCATATCCTATTTCATTACATGTAGCCTAGTTCTGAATCATACCCATACCCATATATAATTTTGTTCACATAATTATGTCAGTGAGACTATCATTATATGAAAAATTGGCATAAAATACAATACAATTATCTCAGTCTAAAATGTATTGTTCTTTACATCTTTTTCACATAATTATGATATGACGTTATTATTTAGTTAAACCTGATATAAAATGATTTCGTCTTCGAAAGATATTAATCCAATTAACTCTGTACCTAGTTACAGAATATTCATTATTACACGCATAGACTTGCGTCAATTACATTTTGCCAGACTTAATATAATACAAAAAGGATTATTTTTTAGACATTTCGCAGCTTCTTCGGCATTTTGATAGCAACAAAATAAAATATGAAATCATATGCAACTATTTAGATAGATGTTGTCAAAGATATTTAGTCGTAGTATAGTTGTTGTTGAATATAATGGACGAATATGTAATGAAATTATGATTGACAATAATACAAGTCTATTATGTATGAAGCGAAGTCTGTAACGAATATTGTATTGGAAAAATAAATATTTCAGCAAGTATTCGTGTTTTTTATTTACATTTACCTAGCATTGGAGAAAGAGAAAGACTATGGCGTGTAGGTGTAGGAGGACCTTTGAATAGAGCTCCACGGCCCCACTGTAGGTTCGCCACTATAACAGCACATCCTTAGCCGAATTGTGTCTCCCTCTATGACGGCTCGTTTAAAGTAGTGTTGTACTGGAGCGGTAATCTCCCAGGTAAACAAAATATAAATACCTAATTGCAACATTAATACCTATGTCTTACAGTCTTTTGGAATATACAGTAATATGGAATTACTGGCCGTGCGCTTTGTTTTTGATGGCGAAAAATCATGAAATCGGGAGAATTAATAACTTCTCCTGCATTGAGTGAGGCAAAAGGAAGTATCAGACAATAATGGAGAGACAAATTGGGTGCTTACTCTATCGAATCTAATTCCGATCGATTGACATTGATATTGTGAATTTTCGTACTCTTGAGTTGCTACACTAGCGCCCATTGCATCCTTATTGTGTGGATATTGAATGAACTAAATGGTATTGAATTTGGCTTTATACTCCGTACTTTCAATGCTATTACCATTGTGGTTATATATAGTGTCATAGTGTGGATATTGAATAACTTTTGGATTGAAATTGAGATTGGTTTCAAGAGTAAGCACCCAGATACCTAAAGGGCGCAGGAAGCCGCTGGATGCAGATCACTTCCAACCGGTTTAACGGTCGATCTCGAGTCATTCAGGAATGATACATGATAAGTGACGTCTACTATGGGTCTCCTACAACCTCCCTAATTTTATATTGTAGTGGGAGAGCCATGCTTCGGCACGAATGGGCCGGCTCGACCGGAGTGATACCACGGCCTCACAGAAAACCGACGTGAAGCAACGCTTGCGTTGTGTTTCGTCGTGTGAGTGAGGTTACCGGAGGTCCAATTACCTTCCCCTTCCCCAATCTCTCCAATCCCTGAATCCCCAACGATCCTCAAACTCCTAATCCCCAAAAAGCTGGTGACGCACTTGTAACGCCTCTGGTGTTCCAGGTGTCCATGGGCGACGCCGATTGCTTACCATCAGGTGATCCGTCTGCTCGTTTACCGTCTTATGCCATAAAAAAAAATATATAACTTTTTTGAAGGGGGGGGGGGGGACATTCTTGCGCTTTGAGAGGCTAGAGTGAGGTCGTTCGCAGCTCCGGCATTTTAGACGAACCTAAATTACATGCGTCGTTGATTAATAAAATCGTGCAGATAGTTTGACAACAATTCATATTTTTATATAATTACTACTTAGCTGACCCGGCAAACTTCGTACTGCCTAAAATTTATTATCATTTTTTCTCACCTTTCAATCCTTCCCTGGACTTCCACGAACATTTCAAGACCAAAATTATCCAAATCAGTTCAGCCGTTCTCGAGTTTTAGCGAGACTAACGAACGGAAATTAATTTTTATTTATATACATGGTTAATTAATTAAAATGAAGATACAAACCATAGGTTACCTCCTTCCCACCTTCTGTTTACCTGCCGAGTCTGATTTTGATACAATTATCATAATCGAAGCTTTCACACACGTTCACACATCGTTGAACTCTTCGAAATCCATAATTAATCTGACATAATTCGTGTTAGATAAATAGAACATGTATTGGGAATATTGTTCCATAGTGTTAAAATTTTATGATCGAAGAAGGTGACTTCAGTCGACTTCTTGAGTTCATCGGAAGAACTTTCTCCGTGGTTCCCGATCGCAGTTGTTTTAATTGTGGTAAGTCTACACCCTTATTTGTTACCGAAGTATTAAACCTAGCACAAACCATTATCCTATTCTTTCCCAGCATAGGTAATAGACATTGTTACTGATATTATTAAATCCCATTGCTACTATTACAAAATCAACTATTAGAGACTGAATTTGAATAACCTGACGATACCTACCTAAGTAATTTCGAACTCAAAACCTTGTTCTCAGCAGTTGCGCTCGCGAAACAAGCAGCTAGAATAATTAGTAATACTCAAGTAAGTATAACATTAAACTTATGTAAAAAAAAATTAAGCACCTTAATTTATTAATAAATTATGTAGGTATTTTCAATCAGAAGCGTAGCGTCTACCCTAGCAACCTGCCCAGTCCACAAGCGGTCACCGCCCACCGGTGACCGCTCTCCAGTAATTCCAATATACACCGTTAATAAACATAGTTAATTATTTCCGATGTTTAGAGACTACTTTTTGTATGAACAAATGTTGTGGATTTCACATAATTGGGGTTTAAGAAGATATATAATAAATTCATTCTCGTCATAGATGTTATTCTCAGAACGGTCAATAATCTTTGCTCAAAATAAAACTATACTTTAAACATTACCATCACGTATTAGGTAGTGTATGTACCTACTAACAAAAATTATGACGCAGTGTGAACTTTAACACGGAAATAAAGTTTTAAGAACCTCGATAAATAATAAAATCAATTCAACAGTTTAGCATTTAAGTGCTAAATTAAACAAACAATCTACTTACGCCACTAATGCGTCATAGCTACCGAAAACATGCATATCAATATCATGGAAATATTTTGTCAAGTAAAACAATAAGTAGCTGCTAATACATTGTCCGAAGCTACGGCTCGAAGCAGGAGCAGAAACGTAAATGTAGTTTTAAGTCTGTAGAGTCTGACACGCTCTCACCCAAGGCGAGAGAAGCCATTGGATGAATTCCCCCAAAAAAATTGACAATCTTACACTATTATTTACTATCTTATATCTTATAGGTACTATTATATAAAGCGGTACAGTTTGTTTTTTTGTTTGTTTGTTGGAACGCGCTAATCTCCGTAACTACAAGTCTGATTTGAATAATACTTTTGTGTTGGATAGCGCATTTATCGAGGATGGCTATAGGCTATAAAACACCACGCTACGACCAATAAGAGCTAAGCAGAGCGTGTGAAACCGCGCGGAAGTAGTTAGTTTCTAGATATAGAGGTATAGTAATGCACTTTATTTAGGTGAATGAACTGTAGTTATAAAGATTTAACATTCTTTTACAAATCATAAAATAAATATGTACCTAATTGATTGTGATGTCCAGTTAGATATTGTTAACAAATGGAATTATTAGCATTTAAAGTAGAATCCGTAGCACAGTCAGATGTCATAATCATGGAAGGTCTAGACAAGAAATAATTCATTGGTCTAAAGACCACAAGAACAGCTGTTGAGTCCTAAACACCCCCCTATTACATGGGACTAATAACATAAATAGTGAAAAGTGGGTGTTACATTGTACAGTGGCATTAAGTGCCGTAATGTACACTTCTGCCTACCTCTTTGGAAATAAAAGGCGTGATATTATGTTATGTTATGATATGTTATAACTAAATAAGTACATTTGCTTATGTAAGTAGTTTCTGTCGCTCAAAAAAATCTTATAATTTTATTCTGCTTTAAATCTTGTCGAAAATACAAATTAATTTCAACATTACAGTACAATTAAATATGAAAACCAAAGAGAAACTATCAGCGCTGTATCAGAAGATGGACAATAAGTTTGCTCAGCAGTTTGGGTTCAAAATAAAAGAGGTCACATTCAACCGAGTACTTGACTATATGTATGCTCCCAAGGACTCTTCCAGCTTAGCAGTCACCAGAATTTTGTTTGGTAAGTGCAGAACAACGATTAATGCTGAAACTAGAGATTCAGATGGCAAAATGTCATAACTAGTTAGTAACTTAAGTGGAGACGAAGAAAAGTTAAATAAATATTTTCCAACTAGATACCTAGTTGACTTGTATATTGAAGGACAACGATATTTAAACGAAAATGGTGAATTTTCTGTAAAATATGTATGGGTAGACTCATTCCCTTAAAAACCGTAGCAATGCGCAATTACAGCTCTTGCTCCATCTATGGGTAACGCAGATTGCTTAGCACCCAGGTGATCCAACTCTACCTATTAAAAAGAATCAACTAAAACTAGTAAACGAATGTATACTATCAAGATTTGAGGAATCCTTCCTGCGGGTACAGGTTTGGCGATGCTGTTTGACATCCCGGACGAGCGCGGCGGTGCCTCGATGGTGAAACGCTGGGGTGACCCCAACACCTGCCATTTCCCACTACTACCGTTTGTAACTTCAGTCGGCATGCCTTACATGGCACTTATTTACGCTGCACTTTGGATTGGTAAGGCTTTTGTGACGCTGCAATCAGTATAATAGTCATAGTCATAGTCGTGGTGGCCCGGAGGTTTAAGATGCCCACATCTCATGCATGAGAGTGCGGGTTCGAAACCTACCAACGGCAAGTACCAATGTGACTTTTCCGAGTTGTATGTACTTTCTAAGATTATCTAGACACCACTGACAAACGGTGATGGAAAACATCGTGAGGATAACCTGGGCTTATAATTTCTAACTATAAAATTGTAATCGCCAACCCGCATTGAGCAAGCGTGGTGATTAATGCTCAAACCTTCTCCGTGTGAGAAGAGGCTTTGTTCAGCATATCTTAGGCTGTTGATGATGACGTTGCAATCTAAAATGTTGTCATTCAAATATTGCGATAGATACTCATGCATAATTGCATATCATTACATTATAGGTAATTCTTGAGATAAAAACAATTTGAATTTGAATTTGAATTATGAATAGGTAAAGGAAGAATTTAATTTAATTACCCAGGTAATTAATTTGAGAATAAATGAGTAGTGATTATTTAAGATTATTTATCAACTTCATCATTAAAATTAAAAATAGAGTCGTAAGGACAATCGCATGGCCCGTAACCCGTAATACAACTGAGGTATGGCTGAGTTGTAAAGTCAAAGTCAAAGTCAAAATCATTGATTTCAATTAGACCAGGAAGGCACTTTTGAACGTCAATAAAAAACTTTCGTGGACATGCTAATTAATTATTATGGTTTTGGTTTAATTTTTATGTTCGCGGCGACTGTCGCGCTGCTATTGGCTGCTTGAGTCAGCTGTCGTGCGGGCGTCGCGGGTCGCGGAATGCTACTCGTGAATATGAGCCTCGTCAAAGAGTGAAACTAGTCGAGTTCCTCGTCAAAGAGTTACGTGAGCCGAAAACATAATAAAAACGAAGCTTTTAGGATTAAAGTGTAGATTCTTATGGAGAACAATACAATTCTCTAGTTAGGTACATAGTCTTGTTGGTTCGATTGTCAATGAAAAGAATTTCGGAGACCAAAAGCGTGACCTGATATGGTTATGAGCAGTTAGTAGGTAGTTCATTTGAGCTTTTATATTGATTACGTCATGAATAATATTCGTTCGACGTCAATCACTAGTACAACAAACAAAACCGAATTTAAAATTAAAAGTGTTTTTAGTAAAGCTGAAGAGGCATTAAGAGCCAAATACATTAAGCACTTTACTATTCACTTCAAATCTCATTAAACTTAATCGGAGTGTTTGCGAAGTAACATAAAGTTATCGATTAGAATTTAAATTTAATTTTTTAGTTCTATCTAGTAAACCAGCTTAATCTAATAGGTTTTTAAGTACCTACTACTCAATCACTCGAAACATGGTCGATTAAAATGGAAATCAATACTACCAAATTTGTTTAGAAGGGTCCAGCAATACCAATAAAGATTTATTGTCGCCATAAACTCGATCATTGTTGTTGGATAAACTCGATCATGGATTTGTTTTCCACATGAAAAACATTTTCTGAATTCCTTACTTAATAAAATCAAGTGGATTATCAAGGGTCTACTTACTCACATTAGCAAAATCTATGATCTCTTCCCCAGGAGCGTTGTGCATCATGCTAGGCTACAGGTTCCGTATAGCAGCGCCAGTGTTCACCGCCTGCTATTGGTACCTGTTCCTCATTGAGAAGAGCTTCTGGAACAACCATAGCTACCTCTTCGGGCTGGTCGCCTTGCTGCTCAGCGGCACGGAAGCTAATTGCTACTGGTATGAAACAAGTTTTAAGTTTTTCATCTTAGTGACCATTCTGTTTGTTTTAAACTTAAAAATTACTGCAATTTTTGCAGTTAGGGTTCAAGAGTATGAGCGTTTTGGACCCAGATATGCATCACCTACCCTATCATTTTTAATGACCTAAATGGGATCTCCAAATTGCCAAGCGTGTGGATTATAGCAAACCCTATTTTTCAGCAGAGATCTTTTTCATCGACGGTCTTTCTTACACTTATTTATTATTTACAGGTCCCTAGACACTTATTTAGACCCTACGATAAAAAAGTCAACAGTGCCGTACTGGAACTATTTTATACTGAAGTACCAGTTCTTCATCCTGTACTTCATGGCTGGGATGAAGAAGGGCACGGCGGAGTGGCTTACTGGATACTCCGTGCAGAACCTTAGCGAGCATTGGGTGTTTGATCCTTTCAAGTAAGTAATGGAACTTAGATATAATAAGCTCTAAAATATGACTAAAGAGCTCTAGTTGACTTGGCAGACTTAGTGACACACTTGGTTACGAGTTGGTAGATTAAAAATATCACAATGGTAGATGCCTAATTTTTATATTAATGTCCGTCAGGTAGATTATTTTAAATCATTAGACACGTATTTTTTATTTTCTTACAGAAACGAATACTTTCGTCGATATATTGATTTGAAATGTCACGTGACGTCATTTCTATGTAGATTTTATACGTAGAAATGACGTTGATGAAGAAGAAGCCCTCACTCCTAAACTTTGATTCGTTTTATCTAAGTAATATATTTTCATTACCTGACTTACGGACTACCTAATTATATTTTTATTTTTCATAACCTGTCATCATCCCAATTAACATATTCTGAAAGGAGTATTAATCAAGTACCTAAAAAAGAAGGTAATTTTCTCTCTTCTTGTCGATACGATCGCTTTAAGGCAAACTATGAAGAACGAAGAATAAACGTATATCTGTCGTATTAGCTTATTGAAATATGAAAAACGAAGTTATTATTGAAGATTAGATTAATAGACATTCAGGTCAATGTATATTACATTTGCAAATAATCAATTGACCTTAGGTTTGCAAATTAATTAATATTTAATAACTACATATTTGCTTTGTACGAATTTGAAAAACGATTATGAATAGTTTCATTTTTGGAAAAATAATATAATTTAATTACTTCAACAAGCAAGGTCGAGTTGAGTGTTTGTCAATTGTCGACAGTTACTTTATTATTTTAATATTTTTTTGGATTCGGAGATTTAATTCTCTGTCTACTTTTTAACCAGAGCCTTCCAATAATAGTTTCAATTTAAAAAATGATAAAGGTTCTTTTTATTTACAGATATTTCTTGACGGTCCCTCAGACGGACTACCTGGTGGTTCACTGGTTTGTGTTCATGTTTGACCTGACTGTGGCCATCTGGATGATGTACTCCAGCACCAGACACGTGGCCATGATATTCTGTGCTTTATTCCATTTGATGAACAGTCGACTGTTTCGCATTGGTAAGATCCTTTGCCTAGTGCAAGCGTACTTTTTTGATAGCTCTATTTAATCAATCAGCCTGTCTTGAAGAACGGAACTGACTAGAAAATCTTTACTCGTACATTATGACTTACACCGTAAGAGGTAAATCCAAAGTTTGAGAAGATAGGGAAACAACTTTAAAAGCCTAAAATAAATATCCTTTTCAGGCATGTTCCCATGGGTATGTTTAGCAACCATGCCATTATTTTACCCGTTCGATTGGCCAAAAATAGTAGCATCGTACTCAAAATACATCTATTGGAAGGCAAAGGTGACTGTCTGTTCGAAAATTAAAGACTTTCGAAAGGAATCAAATTGTGAGTGTCTTACAAAAGATTCAATGGATCAATTTAATTCTGAAGACAAGAATATGGAATTAAAAGAAGATGATGAAGCAGTTATTAACAAATACAATAGTAATGGAACAGAAGAAACCAATAAAAACGAAACCAAACCTGATATTTGTAAGGAATTAGCAAAAGTCGAAGATGATATCGACAAGGATAAAAGTAAAGTGGTTGATAAAGAAGAAAAACCATCAAATGAAGTAGCAAATAAAGACAATGATTTGCACAAAGATAACAAAAGAAGGAAAATAACAGTGTATTTGATTATAGTATACGTTTTCGTTCAAGCCTTTCTACCTTATTCACACTTTATAACAAAGGTAAATTAAATAACAATAGCACTCTGGCGATATAAATTGGCTTAATTTAGTTACATTTTTTGAATATTTATTCACATAACGCATACCTATATGATTTAACTGTAATTACATTTGTTACGTACGTAATTTTGGTATAACTTGATTGATTAAAAGTTGATTCATTTGTGGTCTCTAATATAGAATGTCATCTATCAATAGTATGTCTATTGATGATGATTGATGGGATTTTCCGACTAGTTTCAAGCCATACCAGCTCTTAAATAAGGCTATATTCGTAATAACATAACATCACGCCTTTTATCCCCGAAGGGGTAGGCAGTGGTGCACATTACAGCACTTATATGCTACTGTACAATGTAACACTCACTTTTCACTATTTATGTTATGAGTCCCATGTAATAGGGGGTGAGCCTATTGCCATATACCGGGCACAATTCCAGATTTCGTGCTACAATTGAGATTTTTTTTTAAAAACCCAGGAATACATTGCCCTTTACTTTACTTATTTCGTAGTAATTGGCGTTCCCTAGTCTCTACCTACCCCCATGGGAGACAGGCGTGAAGTTATGTATGTATGTACTTTGTCCAACCTGGGAATCGAACCCTTGCCCGGCAGTCGCAGTTACGAACACTCGGCCGACGAGGCAGTCAATAGTATCAATAATCTATCAATAGAATCTCAGTTATACTCGATTGACATCTATATTCAGTTCGTAATTCTCAAGTAAATGCATTTTAATTAGGTTAGTAAAGTCAGGTAAAATGTAAAAGACTTGCGCAGTTTTAACTACCCACGTAATCCTTATTTAAGCCGACATTTTTTCTTGAACTGGTTCATTGAATACTTCCACTAATGGAAACGTCGAGGCATGAATTTTAAATTAAATTCTCACAAACTTTTCTTAAGCTTGAAGAGTCATCAGCTTTGCAGCTGCAGAGTGGGCGGCGACGGGCGGACGTGGGCGTTTGCACGATGCTCTCTTGAAAAATTAAACAGACTTTTACGGCTTGACCTAGAATAGCTATTCGCGTGATTATTAACATTCTTATTCTGTGAACTATCGTCAAAACTAAAGTCAATTACACCATAGAACGTATTATAAATGTGAAAGTTTCTTTCTTTGGACGTTTTGTCTGTCAATTACGCTGAAACTATCGAATTTTTGATGAAATTTACTATACAGTCAGGGTATGGGTTGGCTTAGGTGATCGGACATATTATCCCGATTAAATGCTCCCATGGGATAAACAAATATGCGGGCTAAGCCGCGGGTAAAACCTGGTTAGAAATGGTAATTAAATCTTTTTCATAATATTTTTTGCGGTTTAAGGAACTTACATTTTTAAACTAATCTTTTTTAATCGCATCATCAACATCATCACATATATTATAAAGAAGATGTTTTGTGAACTTCATCATCACCCCTCCTTTGCTTTGAGCGATGTAACCTGGTTTTGCAATTACTCTGTGTTCCAGGGTTACAACAACTGGACAAACGGCCTCTACGGCTACTCCTGGGACATGATGGTCCACACATGGGACGTTAGCACTGTCATCGTCAAAGTTGTAGACAATGACAGCAACGAAATGATGTACATCGACCCGCAAATGTACACACTGAACGACAGATGGTCAAGACATGGAGACATGGTATACCAATACGCACATTGTTTAAGGAACAATCTAGAAAAAGTGAGAGAAGTTAATTGGCATTATCCATCGAAGATTTTGTCTAGAAACATTTCTATATACGTCGATATCTGGTGTTCAATGAACGGCAGGTTCGTCCAAAGAATGTTTGATTCGAAGGTGGATTTGTTGAAGACTTCGTGGTCCCCGTTTTGTAAAGTTCCATACTTGATGCCTTTGTTAGATGAGGCTATACATTGGAGGAAGGATATGGACGACATTCGGAGCGACGTCCATTCCTGGAGTGAACATAGTGATGTGGTGTTCTTTGCTGATTTTCCAGGTTGGTATGAGAAGTTACTGTTTTTAAATCTAGTTCTTTATTGAACCTTCAATCTTAGCAATAAGATTGAAAACCTATCGAAATAAATCAGGGTAGGGTTTGACGTTTTGGCACCCGTATATTAATTGCGAAGATTGAAACAGTAAAACAGAGAATTTTACTTTCAATATTAATATCTGTCTTTTTTATGGGATAAGCCAGTAAGCGAGCAGACGGATCACCTGATGGTCAGCGATCGGCGTCGCCCATGGACACTCGGAATGCCAGAGGCGGTAAAAAAGGCCGGTACTTTACCGGCCTTTTGGGGATGAGAAATTTGAGGAACGTCGGGAATTCAGGGAGATTTGGCAGGGGGGGATAGTTGGGCTTCCGGTAACCACACTCACCCAACCACCCCACCCTTGAAACAACGCAAGCGTTGTTTTACGTCGGTTTTCCGTGAGGCCGCGGTATAACTCCGGTCGAACCGGCCCAGTCGTGCCGAAGCATGGCTCTCCTACACTTAAAAATGTAGACTTAGACCTCGGTTAGGATTAGTTACTAAAAATATAAATCTTTTAGTAAACATGACTCTCCAAGGCGACTATAATATGTCATAATAAAAACTTCCGTCAATTGGTAAATTATAGTTTGTATAACACGTGACTCACACGTGACTTACACGTGACACACCCCAATGTGTTGGATGCTACAACTACTTAGCTTGTAGGTAGCTGAAGGTAACCTAAACTGCTGGAAAAATATAACAATAAGATTACCTACTTATGAAATTTTTTGTATAAGAAAGACATGTGAAATATATATAGGTATCTCTTTATTTTTAAGGACATCTCACATTGTCATATTAAAATGTCAAAAGGAAGGTCTTTCTTTGTTTTGTAGTTGATAGAGTTTGAACTCTTGATAGGATTACCCGAGTCATAATCGGATTATTAAATTCTCAAAACAAAAAAAATATTGAAAATATCTGTAGGTACGTAACGTACCTATGTAGGTATCTGTCCGACTGGTACCTAGATTAGTACCAAGCCACTCTGAGGGCTCATGGTCATCAGCAGCATTACATAGCCCGAAGAGCATAAATAATTCGGTGTATATTATTTGGTGGACATTCCACCCATTCGAACGAAGCGTTTCGCGTCAACTTCCTTGTGCGAACCGCTAAGGAATCTGTGTTTTCCGTCAAATATGACTTGGGTGTCTTCAAGTGAACAGGTTGCTCGTAGGTAGGCGTGCTCAATCGTCAACTAAATCATCGCTTACCTACCTGGCGAGATGTTGGCCAAATGTCTATCAGAAGTCTTAGTACGAGTTTCATTTACGTTTAAAGTATTCGTAACGAGTACGCGTTCGGCACTCTGATTGGCCGGCACCAATGAAGCAACCAATCACAGCACCGAACGTGTACTCGTTACGATTATTTTAAACGTAGAACAAGCTCGTACTAAGGCTTCTGGTAAAAAAAAATGTGCTACAAATAATAAAATATTAACAGCTACTTATAAATGTTTACTATAGGTATTCATTTATTTTCTACAGGTTACGACCAAGAAAAATACATTCCAGAAGATTTGCAAAACGTCTCTCTAACTATTCTAGAAGGTGACGTCGTCTTCGAACCCGAAGTGACCCAACAACGCATAGGACAGTCCTTCAAATTAGCTAAAGGACACCGAATCCAGATCATACCGGGAACGTTCCATAAAGTCCTGAATATCGGAGAAGAGCCTGCTTTTTACATGTATACCTTCTTCAACCACACCCAAGGGGATTTAAAAGAATTGACCGCTAATGTAAAATTACCTATTTTCAAAGAATTGTACCGAAGAATGTATAACATGTACATTTTCGGCGATTTAGTTGTCAAGAATATATTTCAGTTGTTTAAATTTTCTCAATGTAGTTCATAAATTGGTACGAAGAACGGCACGAACCATGGCCACAATTTTCATGGTGTATTTTTTAATTTGAAATTAAAAAATACACCAGTTAATTTGAAAAATGAAGGCTATTTCTCGCATTATTTCTCACTAGACAAACCTTTCTACGTTAACTTAAGTAGTTACTTCCTAATAGACGTTATTAAAACTTAATGATGCCTTTAATTGAATAACCAAAAAATAACGAGAAAATACACTCGCGAATCCCACCACGAAATATATGGCCATGGTTCTTGCCGGGGTCTACAAAATAGACATAAATAAAACTACAGTGTACCTATAATTTGTATTTCCATAAAAACTCTATTACCATTGCGAAAATGAGTAGGTACCCACCTATTAACACTAAGCTAAAATAATTGTTTATACATTGTATGTACCTGAAATGTCCATTTAAATATCAAATGATTAATTTAATTACCACTATTTTTAATTGTAATTCATATTAATTTAAATGCAATATTTTAAATGCAAATTCCTCAAGAAAACATTTTCAATTTTGCATTTTATTACCTAGGTGTTAAATATTACCTGTTTGCTACCTACCTACCTACCTACCTACTTACCTATTATAGGTATATCTATATTTTTTTTTAAGGGGGGAAAATCATCAAATGACTTCTCCCGCCTGGGTGAGGCGGGAGGGAGTGTCAGACTCTTACTGACTAAAAACCACCCCGTTCCTTCTCCTGCACGTCGAGCCGGAGCCCCGGTTACCCGTTAGGTTCTCCGCGACATATATCTATATAATAGGTTAATTTAAAGTTTTTTTTTCTTGAAGTTACATATTACGTATTACAACAAGAGTTCTAATAAATATTTACAAACTAGCTGACCCGGCAAACTTCGTACCGCCTAAAAAATATTTTTATCACCTTTTAAACCTTCCCTGGACTTCCACGAACATTTCAAAACCAAAATTAACCAAATCGGTTCAACCGTTCTCGAGTTTTAGCGAGACTAACGAACAGAAATTCATTTTTATTTATATAGATTTCAGTAGCTCATCAGGCTATCAACAAACCGGTTTATTTTTAATCGGTTTAAACAGTAGTGTTTTCTCATTATTTGTCTACTTTAGTCACGTCTTTATTTTATCAAATTTATTTATCCTACTTTACAAATTTTATCAATAATAATATGCTTATTGTATATTGTATAGTTGCTACCATATTTTTTTTTATATGGTGTAAATATTTTAGTTTATAGAGGTAGTTATTTGTATTACTTAGTTCCATAGAATGATTACTTAGTTAAAAATAAATTGTTAATATAGACTACAATATTATTTATCACAAACGAAATTGTCTTAAAATAAATAATTATACACTACCTACACAACAAATACTGACTTTTCTTTAATCTTTCCTTACCTTGTTTAGTTTTTTTTTTATTATCTCACGCATCCATTTCTCCTGTCTCCAATATAGTGATTAGTGAATTAAAGATTACTTTGCATAGAACATTTTAAACAAAATTAAATACTTTCTGAGCTTCCATCACAGTAATGCAATTGTTTTACTTAATATTTAACTCGTCGAGTACCGGTTTTGTAGACACAATTATAGAACAATAGGTTGCGGTCACCGGTGACCGCTTGGTGTTTGACAGTTTAAAGTAGAATGAGATCTCGTCTGTCGCTCTTGATTGGTTGGTTCAATGGAGCCGGCCAATCAGAGCGCCGAACGCGGTATCGTTACGATCTTGTTAAACGTAGAACAACAAATATGTAGTAAGCAAACTGTTTGTACACGCACGTAGGTAGCGAACTATTCAGCTTTTCACGATAAAAATTAAAATGTAGGGTTCGTGTACTTGTTGTTGTTAGTGAATTGATCATCCAAATAAAAATAGGACCTAATAAAAATGCGATTGATCATTTAGCGTTTTGCTCTGTTGTGTCAAAACTTTAAAAAAGCCGGGTCGAAAAAGCCCGTGTTGCCATCTTGCCAATGTCATGTTTTATTATACAATGTTGTCCTTTTTCTTTAATTAAGTAAATACTTTATATTGTTCAATGTCTCCGGGGGTCACCCGGGCCTGGTGATCTATAACACAGGTTATACCTTTAACAGACACCAGTCTCTCTTTATTGTAACATATTATATAATTTGTATCCTTAGAGTATTTTGAGAAAATAAAGATTTTTTATTATTATTATTTTTTTTTTTTATATATGTCTTTACCATTCACGGGACCACAGGGTCCCGGTCATTTGGGAGGCGTGCGAGGGGCCGAAGCCAACTGCGCAGAGGCCCTTTAGACAACTTTAATCTAAATGTAATGGACACACAAACCGGCGCCTATCCCTGTATGCACTATGAAAATGCACCCAAGGACAGTCCCCGGTTAGTGTAGAACTATTGTGAATAATGGAAAAAAAAGGTAGGGCTATGGATGGGTTGCTGTGGACTGGTAAATTGGGAACTATGGATGACTATGGCACCTGCCGAAACAATGTAATTTTTACACGTAAAAATGGCAGGCGGAGACTCGCCAACTCACCGACCGGGCCCCAGGAATGGTTGCTAGATATAGCAACAAAGGGGCAACGAGAATGTGAGTGGCTGAAGGGTTAAGAAACTACCACCGCTTTCTACTCAGATCATCTGCTCCAGCCGAAGCCTCCTGCATCCCTGGCCCACTCGCGACTTACGAATAGTTTCTTACCCTCCGAGCAGGATCACTGCTCTCGCGACTCCACTCTGGACGGCCAATGAAGGCAAGCCAGAGGTGGGAGACCTGTTCCTTGTCATCGTTCACTCCAGCCAGCCAATTAAGGCAAGCCGGAGAAGAAGGAACGGTGACTTCTCCCTGGAGCACTCGGGATGATGGTAGCCCGCGGGATCGCTAATGCCCGTCACCTCGCCTCAAGGTGCCCTGCGGGCAATTATTATTATTATTATTTATTATTATTTTCACTAACTATTATTCTACGCAGGAAACAGCGATTGAAATTAGATACATATTCACATAAACTTTGTTATAAGCGCAACTTCTTTAAAATAAATTTAAACACAATTTCTACATTATTGATCTCTAATTTCATTATTTTTTACTTATAAATTCAGATCAAATGAACGCAGCAGAAAACAATGTTACCAATTCATCAAAAACATATAAAATGTACTTTTTTCTTCTAAAAATGTGGCACTCGTCGGCAATTAAGTGCTACGACCCCTATCATTATGAAACAAAAAGTACTTGTTACATTTAGAATGTACATATTTTTAGCTATACTTACCTCTTTGAACATTATAACCATTTTAAGAAATGTCTTTAAATGATTTGGAATTTGATTCGTGAATAAAGAACTACAAAATTTTTTTTTTCGTTTATTTGATTATTGATCTTCTGAAGAAAGACATAATTATCGTACCAGAAAACTAGTCGAATATTGCCATAAAAACATTTAAATTATATTTCATAAAAGTAAACATAACCAATTGATACATTTTAAATATTAAAACTTGGCAACACTGCGTGGCGCGACGGGCGGGTTCGTCTGTCAAATAGAAAATGAAGGCGACAGCGACACACGGCGTGGCGTGAAACGAGTTCATTCATCTTTTCCTCTTGCCGCTGTGACGAGTCTAATAAGTTCGGGCTCGAGCCGACGCCTCGTCACTGCGAATAAATCGTAAAACCGAGGACTTTCCGTGATCACTATCGAAATTAGTATCAGAAAGGCAGCACGCCTTACCGCCCCTTCGAAATATTGACATTTTTAGTCATCTGTGATATAACGATACAGCGGTATCCTGTTATTCAATTTTAGGTTAAAAGTCTCATGTGATGATCAGTGCAACATTTTAAAAGTTTAAGTATTGTGCGCGCCCGTGTCTCGTGACCGGTATTGGGACTAAACTGTTAGAAACATGGAGTCTCCGGTGATGGCTTATGCTTACGATATAACGCCGAATTACTCTTACATTTTCGAATTCGAGAACGAATTTATTCATACCGACTATCGGAAATGGATGACGGAAAATTGGACTGTGGCGTTTTACTACGTGGGGGTTTACATGGCGTTCATTTTCGGCGGCCAATACTACATGCAGAACAGACCCAGGTATGTAACGATATGTTTCCGTACCAAGTTCAGTGTGCCAGTGGCCCACTCACGCTAATTAACTGACATAATACAGGAAATAATGTAATCTCTTACACGAACTCAACTTGTTCTGATTGCATGCTACATGCTTGCTGTTTCGTATCAGTAGTTAGTCATTTTTATATTTAGAATATTAGGCATCCTGTGTAATACTTGTATGAGCCACATGTAAATTTTAATGAGCTAGAATATCTCGGTTGAGTCAAAAATTCCATTCAAATTAGGTAGTCCAATTAATTTAATTTAGTTTTTGCTAAGTAAATGCTGGGAATTTTATCTAATCAGCTAATTATTTACTTACACAAAGTTCAAATATTTAATAACTGTAATGCACCAACTGTTTAAATATAACTTTTTCTTTAATTTACTGACATAAAAGACTACTATTTTATTGTATTCATGAAGTAACTAACACCTTTGTGTCAGTAGACCACAATTTAGCAATAATTGATTAAAAAAAATCATTATTCAGAAATTCATATATCTTTGCATAGTAACAAGTATGAAATACCAGCATTTTTTACACATAATCTTACATATTAATATGACATTAGAATAAAAAAATATTTGAAACATATTGCAAAATTATTACATGATTTAAAATTTAAATATGCTGACCATGTAGGAATAGTTTATTTGCCAAAAGTATGTTAAAAATCAAAATAGGTATAAGCATGTTCTTTTGATATTGAACTTGTAATAAGTTGTTGACAAAATAACTCATAGTTAAGTAGGTACCTAGTCAAAATTTAAATGTAAAATTAACATTTTAACCTCCACAGAATACAAAGACACTTAACTGACAATTTTATTGTGTTTACACATGAATTTTAAGTAATTTGAATTATTATATCAGTTAAACTAACTAATTTTTAATATAATACCTATGTAATTTAACAATAATTTTGTTAATACCAGAATAAAGTTCAAGGTTATTTAGTACAACTAGGAAATACAAAATATGTAGTATAAAATAAAAAAAATATAAAAAATAAATTATTTACTTAATTACTTATGTAAAAAACACCTGATTTGTAACATTAATTTGGTTGTGTTTAATTTTTTTTATATAAATTGATTTAAAAGGCTATTAGTTGGCACATCATCTTTTCATTATTATTTTGTTTGTTTACCTATCTATCCGAACACAACTCAGGAAAAGCTAAACAGATTGTAATATGATCAACTATTTAAGTACCCCTTAAACATAAAAAAACACAGTCAGGGCTAAAAGTAACTGTTTTCTAATAAAATAGAAATGTGTAAATGTATTCATAGAACAAGTTGCTAGTCATGAAGACATTGACATTGAATTATTTTCATATGAATCATTACTTCAGTCATAATACATGCTTCAAGTTCATAAATAAGCCATGAGCCGTTTTGTCAACAAAAATTATAAAGGGGTTCAATCTGGTTGGTTATATGGAGAAATTTCAGAGTATTGTAATGTTATTAAATGTTTGAAACATTTGAAAATGCGGATTTACAGCATATAATGTAAAAAAATCGATTGCTTACCATCAGGTGATCCGTTGGCTCGTTTACTGGCTTATGGTCCACAAAAAAGAACATGGTAAATGCTAGACTACACGGTTGGTGCGGTGGCTGGGCATCTGGCTGCCGTGCAACGTGTCGCGGGTTCGATTCCCGCACGGGACAACACTTTGTGTGATTCACAAATTATTGTTTCGGGTCTGGGTGTCTTTGTGTATGTGCACTTGTATGTTTGTAAACGCACTCACTGACAGACAGACGGATAGACTTAAATTTTTGATGTTTCTAAAGTGCCTATTTAAACATTAAATAGGTGCTTTGACACTTTCACATTGACCATATTAATTAAAAAGATAACATTGTAGGTATATCCGCAAAACAAGAGGAAATACTTGCATTTTTTGTGTTACAAGTGCAATTCTAGACCTTATTGTTATACTAACCACAGAACATCCTCTACTGAACTTAGGCCTCCCTAAATCTATTCTAAACCTGTGTTAATAAAAAATATCGAAATGAATGTGCTTGTTCATCTTAAAGACATCTTGAAACCTAAATATATCTGAAATTTTACTCAAGAAAAATGATAGTTGAGAAATTAGTATAATAGATTAATGATATCTGTGAAATGCATTTTATGCCGCATTATTTGTCATTATTGTCGCATGCTGCTATAAAAATGCATGTTATCATTAATTAACTACAATAAAAAAAAAATTCTGTCTTAAATATACCTATGTTCTGGCATACCATGAGTTAGTGTTCTATTATACAAAATAATTAACAAATCTCTTTTTCTTTTCTCAGTCTCAGAAGTCTCACTTTTATAAAAAAAATCTCAAGTTTCTCAATACTAGAAAATATGAATACAATACAGTATAAATTAGTCACCTAGATGAGCAATTATTCTATCAACATCATTCATCTTAACAATACAATTTTACATTAATAACTGTGATTTTGAAATGCTACAGGAAATCTAATATACTTAGATACAAATAAAACCTTCTTGAATATTATTACAACTTCAGTATTGCTGTATTGTTTATTATAAAATAAAAAAATACAGCTCTGTTCATAGTGACTGTCAGACTCAGATCTCATATCCAATTTCTGATTATCTAATTCTTCTATCGACGGTCGGACTCTGATTTTACGCCTAGTGTATGGGAATAGACTCCTTACTAGCGAAAAATAGTTTGTAACAACATTTGTTCACCTCTTCTGTGCACCAGCAGATAATAAATGGTTTTTGTGTCATTGCAAAACTAGTGACTGAATATCTCATCATCATCTCATCATCATGAAAGTCGTCATCACACCAACAGCCTATGAGCAGCCACTGCTAACCAAAGGCCTCTTCTCACATGGAGAAGGTTTGAGCGTTAATCACTACGCTTGCTCAATAAGGATTGGCGATTTCAAACTTATAATTAAAAATTATAAGTTGTATATAAGACCAGGTTGCCTCACGATGTTTTTCTTAACCGTTTGTCAGTAGTGTCTAAATAATCTTAGAAAGTACTTATAAGTCGGAAAAACTTACATGGTTACTTGCTGTTGTTAGGTTTCGAACCCGCACCCTCGTGCATGAGAAGCAGTCGTGTTAAAACTCTGGGCTACCACGACATATGACTGAATAGTTAACATTATTGTTACAAAAATTCCACTGAAACAAGAATATAATTTTGAACAAAGCTATAAAATAAAATCACTAAATTACCAGGGTATAAAAAAGCTGAATGACACGTGCCATGTTATCAGTGAAGAGTCGCGCACGTGATTTTTATACCAAACAAGAACATCTGACGAAAATGTTCGTCTGATATCTGGCGGTGATATTGCAGATACTTTAGTGGCGTAATATTCTTGCATTCTTAAGTTATCGTTCAGAAAGTAAGAAAATATCATCCTGTTTATAATGACCCTCTGCTGGCCCCAGCTTCTTTTCTCCAAGAGAAGAAATGAACATTGATCGCCAATTGGCCACGGTTATTCAAGACAATTTTAAACTAGATTCTATTATCTCCTGACGATGTTATCCAAAGATTATCTGGATAATATTGTATTTCTAAAATATACCCTATTAACATGATGTTACACTTTAAAAATAAAAAGGCATATACTACTGCACTTTAATATTAATGTAAAAAAAAAAACAACGTCTTTTTGCAAGTAAAATTGTCTAAATAAGTACGATCACATGTTAAGAAAATGTTATAGCATTCGTTTTTTAATCTATGCAGTAAACGTACACGCATACAAACAAGCGTGTTTATTTTCCATCACGCGATCACTATCAGGTAAATTTACCGGCCAAGTAATTAGCTAAAATAATAATAATTATCTACAGGTTAACCTGTATGACCTGTCTTATCCGCTACTGTTGTATACCACAGCGGATAATACCTATGCAACATATTATCACGCTATTTATTATTATTGTTGACCTGCTGACATTGTGTCATGTCAGATAAGGAAGAAAAAAATTAGGAAGATAACGTGGTTTGATACTGGTACCTATCTTTTTTTTTCAATGTCTTTGTGGCAATAGTAATGAAGGTTTTGTTTCTACCTCCGATGAACAGTTACCAGTATTTGTTATTTCGATATTTCTTCCGTGTCGATCTGAATATCTGCAGATCAATCAATATTGGATCTTTTGGGTATCGAAGAAAATGCATCTCGTTTATATTAGTGTCATTACGCTAACGAATGTCAGGAAATAAGTCTAAGCCTCCTCAAGAATCTTTAATTATAGTCATGCCAATTAAATTAGTCACCGGTACTACAAAATAATTATATCGGGTAGTACTTACCCCAGGAACTTCTAGTTGTCTTCTCGGAGACTTGCGTCAATAGACGGCAACAAGGGATCTAACCTTTGTTCCAAGTCGGCTTGGACAACTTAATTGGCACGTTTGCTAACCTTCGTAATTAATAAGACAAAGTCATGGGCCTTACTAGTGAGTAAATAAGAATTAATTATGTTCAGCAAATATTACACAATTCTTAATGTTCAGGATTCAAAGGTTTGTTTGCACAGGAGACGCGCATCACGTCACTCGCCAATCTATCGGTTGTTTGTATTTAATGTTAAGTAGCCAATAGTTATACGTCATTAGTTTGTGAATTGATTGACGTGCAAATATGTTCGACGTATATCGTACTTACATATTTTAACTTTCACCGAAAAACTATTGCCCAATGTTAGCGTTGCGTATCGTTTGAATGCTGCGTATGAATTTTGATTGCCCAAATTCCATGCACCTTAAATGATAGTACTTAGGTCTATTTTCCATAATCTAGCCTCTAATATTGACACTGGCCAATGTCCATATACCGTGATCAAATCATATTAGTGAGACTACCGCATGTTGTCTACTACGTAATAACATAAAAATAACCACTCGTACTGGGACGATTATGCGAGTAATGGCGATACCAGTATCCTTATAACA